TATTATTTTGAAGGTCGAAATATGGGCTATAATTTAGTATAGTTAAGCAAATTTATCTGTAAAACAGTTCAAAAGATCATAATGTATTTTATTAAAATAATACTTATACATGTCATAATTAATAAAATTTGTGGATTTACAAGTGTATTTAATATAAACTCTAGTTAGAACGTTAATAATCAATGACTCAAAGCTAAAAGTAGTGCCTAATAAAGTATTTTTCAGTTGATAAATAATTATCGATAATTAAATTAATTGAATCTCTTTTTAAATTGTTATAGGCATGTAAAGAATGTATGCAATTTCTAGAAAGTGATATTAAAACTACATGGAGCATTTTAAAATACGGAAGGATTCATGCACTTTTCCATGTGATTCATTTAAGTCTTAGCTTTCTTAACATTGGACTTTATGAACAGAGTATACGTTTATTTTAGATTATTTTTGTTCACTTATGATTATTTAAATTTATTCAGTTTAGATTATTAAACAAAATTGCGTTACACAAAAGTAATAGAAGTCGTAAAAGATACATTTAAGCAGTGTTGGCAAAATGACAAATATGACTTTTTTATGACAAATAAACGACACATAAATTTTATAAAAACATAAAATCACATTTTTATGACATTCAACTCATAAGTGCATTACACAAAAATAATGAGCGTACATCAGTTTTGTGCAACATCACGTACATCAATTCTCCTTATTGGTCATGTACGTGATGTTACACGAAACTGATATACGCAATTCCTCATAAAAATAAGAAACAATAACTTTTATAAAGTGCATTATACAAAATAAAAATAACAGAAGTTATTGTATACTTTTTATGTGAGTACCTGGCCATTTTCATGCATGTTATTGAGTCACTTCTAATGCGATATACACAAACTTTGCACCTTCCATCGGAGGTGAACGAAATTTGTGTATTACGTATTAGAAATGACCGAGTGCTTACATCTGAAATGTACAATAAACATCATATTAATGACAATCACTGATTTGTCATAATGGTAGTCTTGGACACCGTTATATCTCAGCGTCCTCATGGAAAATTCAAAAAATGACCAATGACAAGTACTTGCAAAAGGCGCACTATGTAAAAATAACAAGTTACAAAAGACACATTGCACAAAAAAGATATCAAAGTTCAGACGTCACTAACTCAAGACGCTTTAAAAAAGAATAATGAGGATAATTTAGGAAGTAATGTTTATGGTGTTTTACCTTATATTGCACCGGAAATTCTATTCCG